GGACACAATTATTATTTATATTAAAAATCATTATTTCTAACCTTGTTAATGACTACATTTCCTATGCATGTTGCTATATTTCCTATTCAAACTAATTTAATGTATGTTTTCATGGAAAACAAGGACATTTCTAAGTGACCCAAACTTTTGAACGGTAGTGTGTGTGTATATATATATATATATACTACCAGTAAAAAGTTACTAGACACACCTACTCATTCAAGGGTTTTTCTTTATTTGTACTATTTTCTATGAAATAACACATATGGAATCATGTAGTTAAAAAAAAAAGTATTAAACAAATCAAAATATATTTTGTAGGAAAAGCAGCCAACAAGTGCTCAGCATATGTGGGAACTCCTTCAAGACTGTTGGAAAAGCATTCCAGGTGAAGCTGGTTGAGAGAATTCCAAAAGTGTGCAAAGCTGTCAAAGCCAAAGGGTGGCTATTTGAAGAATCTCAAATATAAAATATATTTGGATTTGTTTAACACTTTTTTGTTTACTACATGATTCCATATGTGTTATTTCATAGTTTTGATGTCTTCACTATTATTCTACAATGTAAAAAATAGTCAAAACAAAGAAAAACCTTTGAATGAGTAGGTGTGTCCAAACTTTTGACTGGTAGTGTATATCACCAGTAGTACATTTACCATTAATTCCTATAATTTCTAATCTACAATTTTTGTTACGGAGATTTATTTTAATGCATCCAATATTATTATTCCAGTCTTCCTGTTCTCATTGTCGGAGTGGACACATTGTTTGCAGAATGAACAACCTATGCTGCACTTGTGAGAAACAAGTTTTGGTTAATTTAATTCCATTTACGAGTTCTGTCAATTTAGTAATTGTCTTTTGTTTGGCGCGCTCCTGTCAATGTTGAGTAAGGACTCGCATGCATAGTAGGTCTATAGGCTACCTGGCCTGCGCGCAAATGTAGGCATATAAATGTGCCCATTTGGGGATCTGATAGTATTTCTGATTGGCTTAACGCACCACCACTAATGACCTGTGGAGCTTCTCAAAGTAATGTTTTCTTCATCTCAAACAGCAAGCAAATTAAGTCTGTTTTTACATCCATTGAGAATTACAATAGTTCCTCAATCTTTGCAGCTCTCTCCCTTTCGATAACCACTCAGCGTGAAAGGGAAAAATGTAATGCTCTGATCCAGTGGAAACGTTATAAAATAGGTTTCTTATCAGTGCTTGACTTATAAATAGGTTCCGGTACTGTTTATATTTAGGTGCAGGAGCTCCACAATACTTTTGAGCTAATATTCTACTTTTTAGGTTGGTATCATTTTCATTTAGATTTGGATAGAATTTTGATTAACCACAGGACAATTATTTTGAGATATTAAGACATTATTATAAATTAAATATAACTGTTTCACGAAAATGTGCATATGAAAACCATAACTGGCACACAGATCGGTAGAAATGGTAAGATAAATTGTCATTCCACATGAAAAAGGTTGCTGATTCCTGGTGTATATTACCGACAACTTCAGGAGAGTAACGGCAGAATCTGCGAAAGTCAGCAGGAGCGGGAGGAGAATAGTTGGGTCAGGTTAAGGTTTTTTCTTCTGGTTATCTAGATATCTGGCACCCTCTTGAGGCATCAAACCGTAAGCTTAAAGCATCAGACAAGCTCAATGCATATAGTTGATTTTATTAAAACACATAGGGTGTCTATATATGGAAAAATACACCTTAAAAAATTTTGAGCAATCAATTGGTCGAAAGAACAGACTACTTTCAGTCTACCAAGATTTATTTTAGTCGGGGACAGCCCTAATTCTGAGGAAACTGCAACTTCTGGCTTATCTTTTCTAATATTGAGGTCATCCCACCACACCACCTATTAGGGGAGAGTGGGGTAAGTTGAGTAAAATTGGTAAGTTGAGCCACCCTTGTTTCTATGAAACTATACACAAAATTCATAATTTGACCAAATATTTAGGAAAAGGTAATAATTTCATGGCGTCTGTGAAGGAAGAAACCTCATGGAAAAAGTGGTACACAAGTTAGGTAAAAAAAACTGATTTTCACCAAGTCAAATGTATTTATTAGAGGTTTTATGATACTTGTATCTAAACCAAAGTAGATAATACTAAGATTGTTCCATACATCAGTTGGGGTCTCTATAAACTTTAATGTGAGGTCCTAAACCTAGCATAAAAGTGCAACCTTGTAGGTGTGTGGGCTAATATAGTCCAAATGTTTGCCTTGGGGTAAGTTGAGCCAATGGCCATGGGTTAAGTTTAGCCAATGGTTGAGCCAAAGGCAAGTTGAGCAAATTGAAATGTTTTCTTCCCAGGCGTAATGCAAGGCATTATTGTTGGGATATGAGGTAACAACAGGACCTGGCCTATGTTAAAAGTGTAAAAAAAAAAAAGAATAATTACAAAGTTTGTTTGTTAGGTGTTAAGCCTGTGTTAAATGATACTTAATTCAGTACAGAATATTTGTTGCCACAAGCAGCACTGCAGATATTGAGATGAGTGAGATGCAAAACTTAGCTCTCACACAGTCACATAGAGTATCTGTGCATGTACACAAGTTGACAACATGGTAGTCTGGGCACCAAAACAGCAGAGTAGTTGAGCCTGGCGCTTCAATGCTCTTAGTTGTTGCAGAAATTGACTCATTATGCTGTTTCCTTTCTGCATCTACGTCATATCGCTGAGTCTACCTTTAACTTACCCTGTCCCGAGGCTAAACTTACCCCATTCCTGGGGTAAGTTGTGCCAAGAGACCACTCTTTTTGGACAAGCTACAGTATGTTTTCAAACTGAGGAACAGACTATGTCTGAAGTTGCAAAACAACTAGACACCTGGCAACAGTGAAGCGCCAAGGGGCTGGGACCAGCCTGTGCGCCAACGATAGGCTGAGTAAGTCTAAACCACGCTCAGTCTCTACTCTGATTGGCCAGCAGGGAGCGGGAACTATCTCTGTCAGAGTATTTGGAGAAGAACTTAGAACAATGGATCAGTTCTCTGAGTGCCCTGTGTGGTATTTCAGTGGACCCGTATATACGAACATCATATTTACCATTGAAGTGTTTGCATTAATTAAAATACTAGTACAGTGGGGAAAAAAAGTATTTAGTCAGCCACCAATTGTGCAAGTTCTCCCACTTAAAAAGATGAGAGAGGCCTGTAATTTTCATCATAGGTACACGTCAACTATGACAGACAAATTGAGATTTTTTTTTCCAGAAAATCACATTGTATGATTTTTAATGAATTTATTTGCAAATTATGGTGGAAAATAAGTATTTGGTCACCTACAAACAAGCAAGATTTCTGGCTCTCACAGACCTGTAACTTCTTCTTTAAGAGGCTCCTCTGTCCTCCACTCATTTCCTGTATTAATGGCACCTGTTTGAACTTGTTATCAGTATAAAAGACACCTGTCCACAACCTCAAACAGTCACACTCCAAACTCCACTATGGCCAAGACCAAAGAGCTGTCAAAGGACACCAGAAACAAAATTGTAGACCTGCACCAGGCTGGGAAGACCGAATCTGCAATAGGTAAGCAGCTTGGTTTGAAGAAATCAACTGTGGGAGCAATTATTAGGAAATGGAAGACATACAAGACCACTGATAATCTCCCTCGATCTGGGGCTCCACGCAAGATCTCACCCCGTGGGGTCAAAATGATCACAAGAACGGTGAGCAAAAATCCCAGAACCACACGGGGGGACCTAGTGAATGACCTGCAGAGAGCTGGGACCAAAGTAACAAAGCCTACCATCAGTAACACACTACGCCGCCAGGGACTCAAATCCTGCAGTGCCAGATGTGTCCCCCTGCTTAAGCCAGTACATGTCCAGGCCCGTCTGAAGATTGCTAGAGTGCATTTGGATGATCCAGAAGAGGATTGGGATAATTTCATATGGTCAGATGAAACCAAAATATAACCTTTTGGTAAAAACTCAACTCGTCGTGTTTGGAGGACAAAGAATGCTGAGTTGCATCCAAAGAACACCATACCTACTGTGAAGCATGGGCGTGGGAACATCATGCTTTGGGGCTGTTTTTCTGCAAAGGGACCAGGACAACTGATCCGTGTAAAGGAAAGAATGAATGGGGCCATGTATCGTAAGCTTTTGAGTGAAAACCTCCTTCCATCAGCAAGGGCATTGAAGATGAAACGTGGCTGGGTCTTTCAGCATGTCAATGATCCCAAACACACCGCCCGGGCAACGAAGGAGTGGCTTCGTAAGAAGCATTTCAAGGTCCTGGAGTGGCCTAACCAGTCTCCAGATCTCAACCCCATAGAAATCTTTGGAGGGAGTTGAAAGTCTGTGTTGCCCAGCGACAGCCCCAAAACATCACTGCTCTAGAGGAGATCTGCATGGAAGAATGGGCCAAAATACCAGCAACAGTGTGTGAAAACCTTGTGAAGACTTACAGAAAACGTTTGACCTGTGTCATTGCCAACAAAGGGTATATAACAAAGTATTGAGAAACTTTTGTTATTGACCAAATACTTATTTTCCACCATTATTTGCAAATAAATTCATAAAAAATCCTACAATGTGATTTTCTGGAAAAAAAAATCTCATTTTGTCTGTCATAGTTGACGTGTACCTATGATGAAAATTACAGGCCTCTCTCATCTTTTTAAGTGGGAGAACTTGCACAATTGGTGGCTGACTAAATACTTTTTTTCCCCACTGTATATCTTAGAAGTCGTGTTGACCTCTTTTGTTCCCAATACCAGATTTGAATTGACGCAACTTAACAGCTAGCAGTTGGCTATCATAAGCTAGTTGGCTGGTTAAACTGTAAACATTACACCGTGCAATGTGTTTTGGAACGAACTTAGCCACAGCTGAATTGGGGAGTTAGCTAGCTATTTATAGGTTTCTTTGATTTAGCTGATGCTACATGCTGAATATTACCTGGTCAAAATGCCCTTACAATGACTATTGCACTTACACTCTTCTTACATGCATTTGTTTTTGGAATACCTTTTATTCTAGGCTCAACATCGAAGGGTTGTTAGTCTATTTCCCATATAACTACATTTACCCAGAGCAATATTCCTACATGCTGGAACTCAAGAGGACCCTGGATGCCAAGGTAAACTTGTTGTAGACCTATCCTAATGCTATGGCCCTACGCATGATGGTAACACATTGTTTATCCAAAGGGACATGGAGTTCTGGAGATGCCATCGGGAACCGGGAAAACTATCTCTCTTCTGTCATTGATTGTTGCATATCAGCGGGTGAGTCAAGATACGTCCGTTATCTTTATCACCATCTGGTCCTCTTTGACAATTCACTTATACAGTGATCTCTCCTCTATTTGACAGGAGTATCCCCTTGAAGTCACAAAGCTGATCTACTGTTCCCGAACTGTTCCTGAGATGGAGAAGGTGTTCTCTCTCTCTTCTCCTTCACCTCTCTGTGTGCTCCCCTGTCCTTGAAGAACATATGTTTCTCACCCCCTTCTCTGATGCCATGTTGCTCCCTTCTCCATCAGGTGGTGGAGGGGTTGAGGAAGCTTATGGAGTTCTGTTCTAAGGAGACTGGAGAGAAGAACAACTTCCTGGCTCTGGCGCTCTCCTCTCGGAAAAACCTGTGTTCACCCCGAGGTAGGAGTGCCAATAGCCCATTTTATATACCTCGATGGGGGTGTTTTTGTCTCATAATATGAAATTACAGTAGGCTACCAGTATAGCCTGTATCGATTACGCTTTTCAGATATAATGGTACAGTGAGGGAAAAGTATTTGATCTCCTGCTGATTTTGTACGTTTGCCCACTGACAAAGACATGATCAGTCTATAATTTTAATGGTAGGTATATAACAACAACAACAAAAATCCAGAAAAACGCATGTAAAAAATGTTATAAATTGATTTTACATTTTAATGAGGGAAATAAGTATTTGACCCCTCTGCAAAACATGACTTAGTACTTGGTGGCAAAACCCTTGTTGGCAATCACAGAGGTCAGACGTTTCTTGTAGTTGGCCACCAGGTTTGCACACATCTCAAGAGGGATTTTGTCCCACACCTATTTGCAGATCTTCTCCAAGTCATTAAGGTTTCGAGCATGACGTTTGGCAACTCGAACCTTCAGCTCCCTCCACAGATTTTCTAAAGCGAGACTAAATTCCATCACTAGGCGACAAGAACAGTCAATCCTAGCCTGCCAGCTGCCTGCGTGCAGACCACTCTTTCCTAAAAAAGTACTTTAAAGTTGGTTAAATATCGCAATTTACCAAGACATTTAGTAGAACGACAGCACATCTTGCTACCCTACCATTAAAAAACTGCCTAAACAACACAGCAGCCCTTCAATCAGCAACGTTTATTGTTGTCAGCGAAACAATAGAACGTGTTATGCAGGAGCAGAATTCTACTGTCTGAAAAGGTACATAGGTTTATGATGTGGCACTTTTTTAAATTGTCTGAAAATTTGTCAATTATCGACATGTTAGTGTACTGCGTTCTAGTCTGTAAAGGGTCGCGGTAGACAACTTCATTGCCCGGCCCTAGCGGTCAGTACACTGACGACAGTATATCTTCACGATGTCACCCACTAACCGTGGTCCTGTAACGCCATTCATCCGCGCCCAACAGCACAGCAACCCAAGCCTGCCTTCGTGCCGTTTCTATGAGGTGAGGAGCTTGGGATTGTGACAAAGAGATTGATCTGGGACTTCCATGCCTCCGTCTGTCTGTCTGACTGACTGATTCTGTCTTTTCCAGGAGTTTGATGCTATGGGAAAGCAGGTGCCCCTCCCCGCTGGAGTCTACAACCTGGACGATCTGAAGGACTTTGGTTGGAGGAAAGTCTTGTGCCCTCACTACCTAGCACGCTATTCGGTAAGAATAGCCCATTGTCATAGCATCTGATGTTTTTGTAGCATGTTATATTTGACAGCATTACTAAAGACAGTACAGTATGAAGATAGGAAGAAACTGCTTCTCCAGTAGAAATCCCCGATCACACTTGTAGACGACGTTGGCTATCTAAACTCATGCGTAAAAGCACGTCATCAGGTCTAATAGTCGTCCTTCACTGAACTGAGCATGTGCAGGCCATCAAATCAAAGGCACTCCTTCTTTATAAAGTTGTTTTTGACAAAAATGAAAATGTGTACGTTTGTCACTTTCACAAGGTTGGAGTAATAACATGTTCAACTACTTAAGAGATTGGCTCGAATCTAGGTTGTGCCTTTAGATTTCGACAAAATTAACAACTAATGAAGAATTTTTCACTTCTCAAACCCTGGCCTGGTCTGCTTGGTCTGTTTCGCAAGTGTTCCCGCAAGTCTCGCAATGTTGCACCTCTGGGTTTAGAAACTCTGTGGCATGAATTACTGTATGAAGGAGATATACTAGTCGTGATGTTTTTCATTTAGCTTCTTTCCTTAACACAGATCCTCCATGCCAACATCATAGTTTACAGTTATCACTACCTCCTGCACCCAAAGATTGCAGACCTTGTCTCAAAGGAGCTCTCCAAGAAATCGGTGGTTGTTTTTGACGAAGCATATAACATCGGTAAGGACAGCCATCTGTTAAGTTTCCCATTTGTTTAAGAAACCCACTGTTTCAAGCCTCCACAAGCTGATATTCCATCCTCCTCAGACAATGTGTGCATCGACTCAATGAGCGTCACATCACCAGGAGGACTCTGGACCACAGTCAGGCCAACGTGGAGACCCTACAGAACACCATTCTCAAGTAAGGTCATACTGCTCAGGGTCATACACTCAGGGGACTAGTGGAGAGCAGCACTAGAACCGCTGTCATTTTATGTGTACAAAGGAGAACGTACAAGGAGTCTATAATGAGACCGACTGAACCAGTTTGTTGTTCTTGCCCCAAAAGTGTAGAGTGTTGTGATGTCATCTCAACCTCTTGTCCTCTGCTGAAGGATAAAGGAGACAGACGTAGCCAAACTGAAAGAGGAATACAGACGATTGGTGGAGGGCCTGAAAGAGGCCAACGTTGCCAGGGAGACCAACATCTACAGTTGAAGTCGGAAGTTTACATACAATTTAGCCAAATACATTTACTCAGTTTTTCACAATTCCTGACATTTAATCCTAGTAAAAAATTCCCTGTCTTAGGTCAGTTATGATCACCACTTTATTTTAAGAATGTGAAATGTCAGAATAATAGTAGAGAGAATGATTTATTTCATCACATTCCCAGTGGGTCAGAAGTTTACATACACTCAATTAGTATTTGGAAGCATTGCCTTTAAATTGTTTAACTTGGGTCAAACGTTTCAGGTAGCCTTCCACAAGCTTCCCACAATAAGTTGGGTGAATTTTGGCCAATTCCTCCTGACAGAGTTGGTGTAACTGAATCAGGTTTGTAGGCCTCCTTGCTCGCACACGCTTTTTCAGTTCTGCCCACACATTTTCTATAGGATTGAGGTCAGGGCTTTGTGATGGCCACTCCAATACCTTGACTTTGTTGTCTTTAAGCCATTTTGCCACAACTTTGGAAGTATGCTTGGGGTCATTGTCCATTTGGAAGACCCATTTGCGACCAAGCTTTAACATCCTGACTGATGTCTTCAGATGTTGCTTCAATATATCCACATAATTTTCTTCCTCATGATGCCATCTATTTTGTGAAGTGCACCAGCCCCTCCTGCAGCAAAGCACCCCCACATCATGATGCTGCCACCCCCGTGCTTCACGGTTGGGATGGTGTTCTTCGGCTTGCAAGCCTACCCCTTTTTCCTCCAAACATAACTATGGTCATTATGGCCAAACAGTTCTATTTTTGTTTCATCAGACCAGAGGACATTTCTCCAAAAAGTACGATCTTTGTCCCCATGTGCAGTTGCAAACCGTAGTCTGGCTTTTTTATGGCGGATTTGGAGCAGTGGCTTCTTCCTTGCTGAGCGGCCTTTCAGGTTATGTCGATATAGGACTTGTTTTACTGTGGATATAGATACTTTTGTACCTGTTTCCTCCAGCATCTTCACAAGGTCCTTTGCTGTTGTTCTGGGATTGATTTGCACTTTTCGCACCAAAGTACGTTCATCTCTAGGAGACAGAACCCGTCAAAGTAGATGTCCTAACCGACTTGCCAAAACTATAGTTTGTTAACAAGACATTTGTGGAGTGGTTGAAAAATGAGTTTTAATGACTCCAACCTAAGTGTATGTAAACTTCCGACTTCAACTGTACATGTCCAGATGAGATCCTCCAAGGTTAGCCCCCTGGAGTCCAGTCGAAAACAACGTTATTGAGTATTTGTTTATATTTGTTTCGATTTATGCTCAAATAAGGTTTAATGTATCTATCTTTCCCTTTCTATACCCTGTCCTCCCTCCCCCGCACTGTCTTTCTTTACGCCTTTCCCTCTCCGCCTCCAGAGGTGGTGCCTGGCAGTATCCGCACGGCAGAGCACTTTGTGGGCTTCATGAAGCGTTTCCTGGAGTACCTGAAGGCCAGGCTGAGGATTCACCATGTGGTTCAGGAGAGCGCTCCACCGTTCCTCAGACATCTTCGAGAAGGTCTGCATTGACCGCCAGCCCCTCAGGTGACTTCTACAGTACTTTTGTGTTAGTTTTGAATAGCCTGGTGCTGTTGGTTGGTGGAGATTTCCACTTTAGGACCAATGGAATGGCCCTAACATGTGCCAACTCTGTCCACCAGGGCACCGGGCAATGCAAAACGGATGCTCCCAGACCTAACTGACTCCATCGTGGATTATGTGTCTTTGGTACATTGAAAGAAGTTTCTAGAAACTCCTCCTTAATTCTTATATTACATATATATTTGTTTATCTAGATTCTGTGCCAAGAGGTTGCGTCCGTTGCTGAGGACTTTGGAGATTGCGGACATCGGCAGGTAGCAAAGTGGTTAAGAGTGTTGTGCCAGTAACCCAAAGGTCGCTGGTTCTAATCCCAGAGCCGACTAGGTGAAAAATCTGTCAATGTGCCCTTGAGCAAGGCACTTAACCCTAATTGCTCCTGTAAGTCGCTCTGGATAAAAGCGTCTGCTAAATGACAAAAAAATAAAAAAATAATTTGCCACTCTGGTCAGCACTTACAGCAAAGGTACTGAACCTCCTTAGGCTGACTGTTTCCATGTTACCGCTACAGCTCTGCAGTTATTTACTTTCTTTGTCCTTTCCTTGCCACCCTCAGGCTTCACCATCATCACTGAACCCTTTGAAGACAGAACCCCCACCATTGCTAACCCCGTGCTGCACTTCAGGTGGGGTTAATTTGTGTCGAGCGTATTTTGTTTTGTCAGCAGAACGGTGTGATATTGATGGATGAGATGTTGTGCCACTACAAGAGCCAAGGGTGAAATAATCCATCAGGATGGAAGTGAATGACTGATGTATACACTCTGCTTAGTAACTCATTGTGCCATTGGATAGTTTAAATGCACCATAAGAAGTGATTTGTCATTCATCTTATCTGGGATCTAGTTGAGAGAAACATGAACAATTATTTTATTATGTGTGGCATAAATCCAGGTTCAGGCATTCATGTAGTTTCAGATATTAAACAGCCTTTATTTTATGGGCTAGTGCATAAAGAAACACCAATGTGTGTTGGCTTACGCTTTTTATCTCGGATCTACTTCTAGCCCTGGCTCTTCTCTCCTCTCCCTTCAGCTGTATGGACCCTTCCATTGCCATCAAGCCTGTGTTCCGAGCGCTTCCAGTCTGTCATCATTACGTCAGGGGTAATCTCCCTCCCTCTTCTCTCTCTCCTCCTGTTCCTAGATTAACTGTGGCCTAGTGATTATAAACCACCTGCTGATGGTCTCATCTGTCCAAGATGGGGCCACTCACATTCCAATGCAGTCAGGCTAGAGGGCTATTTGTAAACTTAGTGCTGTGTCTTGTCCATGTACATGTGTTAATGAGGGACACATGGCTTTTCTTTGTGTTTCTCAGTACTTTATCAACAGGGGATTCCCCCTTAAATCTGCAGCATTTTAATGATTTCTTTACCACCATTCAGAATTACAGTTTATCAATGAATTTGCATGCGATGCAAACAGAAATGTAAAGAAGTTTGATAGTTTTAATATTATTTTCTGTATATTATTTTGCCTGTAGGTGTACTCAGCGGTCAGTTGAGTAGTATGATCATCACTTCACTCCATTGATCCTAACACAAGATCCCTTGGCTGTGTGTTGGCTTGGCTGTCCTACCCTGTGGCTGTCTACTTCTGATCATGTTTCTATCCACAGACCCTTTCACCGTTGGATATTTACCACCGAATCCTGGACTTCCGGCCTGTTACCGCGGCATCCTTCACCATGACGCTGGCACGCACCTGCCTCTGCCCTCTTGTGAGTAACCTCAGAAACAGTCTACATGATATGACCTGAGTGGTTAATCCAAGTTATGCTGAGCTTCAGAAAGGATGCAAGGGGGTGACACTGAGCTCTTTGTCTTTCAGGTGGTGGGGAGGGGGAACGACCAGGTGGCCATGACCTCCAAGTTTGAGACACAAAGATTTTGGTTAGTGATTGTTACATTGTATCGAAATATTGTAAGCTTGCCTTGCCTCTTTGTGAGCTTAGCCTCTCCTTTCCTTAGTTGGGATAAACAAAACATTGAAATAAACCTGGTTTGGGTTCTATTTTTCAGCTGTCATCCGTAACTATGGCAACCTGCTGCTGGAGATGACTGCGATCGTGCCCGACTGCATCGTGGCCTTCTTCACCAGCTACACCTACATGGAGAACGTTGTGGCGTCGTGGTATGAGCAGGTGTGTACACACGGTCCACAAATGGAAGTCAGAATAAATGTGAATAACGTGTGGTTCTGTCTGTACTGTTATAGCAATAGACATATCTATGTTAGTATTTTATTGGCAGCAGATTGAATTGTGCCCAGAAAAGAAATGTTTTGAAGGGTAGTAATCTAGAAGTTGAGTAAGCGTTGTCCGCTTGTCCCTTTGTGTCTCTGTCTGTAGGGCATCTTGGAGAACGTCCAGAGGAACAAGCTGATCTTCATCGAGACCCCAGACGTAGCAGAGACCAGCATGGCTCTGGAGAAATATCAGGAGGTCAGGAGACCCTTTCTTTGACTGTCTTAGGTTGTCTTCTGTCGTTGTCTGTGACCTCTGACCTCTTGTCCGTTGTGCCCCAGGCCTGTGAGAACGGCAGAGGAGCCATCCTGCTGTCTGTGGCCAGGGGAAAGGTGTCCGAGGGAATCGACTTTGGTGAGTGTTTAGTTCCTGTAGCATAGTAGTACAGCCTCCATCAGTCTCATTTGCAATACAAAATGGCCGCCAAAGTTACAACACAGTTCATGTACAGTGAGGTGTTCAGTGTAGTTATTTGAAGAGATGAGTGATATGAAACTGTCTCCCTCAGTCCACTAATTTGGCCGCGCAGTGATCATGTTCGGAGTGCCTTACGTTTACACACAGAGCCGGATCCTGAAGGTCAGTCTAACTCCTGTTGTTTATCATCCTTCCCTTGTTCTTCTCTTCTGCTTTATTCACTGTTTTGGTCTATGTTCCTCTGTTCTGCATATGTCCTCCTCAACCCTCTCTGTTATTCCTTCACTTTACTTCCTTTAATCCTAATGGTCTGTTTGTCCAAAATATTTATCCTTCTCCTCTTCTGTCCATCTCTACCAGGCTCGTCTGGAGTACCTGCGGGACCAGTTCCAGATTAGAGAGAATGACTTCCTGACGTTTGATGCCATGCGGCACGCAGCGCAGTGTGTGGGCCGCGCCATCAGGGGCAAGACTGACTACGGCTTGATGATCTTCGCAGACAAGGTGAGGACCTTTTGGAACTTGGGTGTGTCCAAAAGTTTGATCATTGATACAGACTCTACCCTGATAATTTTATCTTCTTTTAATTGTCTGTAATGTCTACTTAAATGTTTCATGTAGTTTTAGTTCTGTATTGGACCCCAGGAAGATTAGCTGATGTTATGGCGTCAGCTAATGGGATCCTAATAAAAATTTATAAATTCCTCTTGTGGAATTCTGGAAGTTAAAAGCCATAATGCACAGAGGTCCCAGCAGGTTGTTCCATAATGCTGTTACCTATCTAGTGCCTCCACATCAGTGGTAACAAATATGTGTAAAATAAAAAAAGGCTATTGAAGAGAATTGGAACAAAGCCTAAGATCCTGTTTCTCTCTCGTGTTGCAGCGCTATGCCCGGGCTGACAAGCGAGGGAAGTTGCCCCGGTGGATTCAGGAGCACCTCACTGATGGCAGCCTTAACCTGACCATCGACGAGACGGTACAGCTGTCCAAACACTTCCTACGCCAGATGGCCCAGCCCTTCAAACAGGTATAGCATATCACAGTAAAGGGACATGTTTAGCAGGGTTCCAAGGTTGTGGAAACAAATGTTATTTAGACACCTGTCTGACATGTAGAATAAGAAATCAGGTCAGGCCTCCCGAGTGGCGCGGCGTTCTAAGGCACTGCATCGCAGTGCTAGAGGCGTCACTATAGACCTGGGTTCGATCCCAGGCTGTGTCACAACCGGCCGTGATCGGGAGTCCCAAAGGGAAGCGCACAATTGGCCCAGCATTGTCCGGGTTAGGGGAGGGTTTGGCCGGGGGGGCTTTACTTGGCTCATCGCGCTCTAGTGACTCCTTGTGGCAGGCCGGGCGCCTGCAGGCTGACCTCGGTCGTCAGTTGAACAGTTTCTCCTCCGACACATTGGTGCGGCTGGCTTCCGGCTTAAGTGGGTGGGTGTTAAGAAGCGCGGTTTGGCGGATCATGTTTCGGCGGACACATGACTTCACCTTCGTCTCCCAAGCCCGTTGGGGAGTTGCAGCGATGAGACAAGATCAAAAAAGGGGGTACATTTAAAAAAAATATTCATGACATCTCTACCTGCAACGTTCTTCAATGTTTGCCAACTGAATGTGTACCAGGTCTCCCCTTAACCCCTCCTTTCTCTGAATGTCTCTCTGTCATCCCCCCTCAGGAGGACCAGTTGGGCCTGTCTCTGCTGACACTGGAGCAGCTGCAGTCAGAGGACATGCTGCAAAAGATCCAGGCAGTGTCATCACCCAGTCAAACCCACGTCTGTCATACAGACAAGATCACTGTTCCAATACTGTCCTATTGTAAATAGAACGTCTTTTTTAAGTGTACATTTGCATAAGCCGGGAGGCCCGAAAAATAAATGTTTACAGTTTCTACCATGCAGTTGGGATGTTTTAAACTTTTTTTTTTTTTTGCACATGTACATACGGTATATCATGAAACATACCCAGACAAGGCTAGCATGAACACAGTGGATTGAAGAGACTCAATACTTTATTTGACATTTGTCTGCTATGGTATCCAGATATAAAATACATTTGTCATTTTCAATAACATTGACATAATCTGCAAAGAAAGCTCTCCATATGAAACAGCAACAGTTCTACATAAATAAGACGTAGGGCTCTATTTAATCTGTATCGCTGAAGTTCAGCGTGATTTGAAATTTAAAGGCAATGTTCCCACGTTAGCGACGATTGCATTCATGGTAAATGCTGCATACAGTGGGGAGAACAAGTATTTGATACACTGCCGATTTTGCAGGTTTTCCTACTTACAAAGCATGTAGAGGTCTGTAATTTTTATCATAGGTACACTTCAACTGTGAGAGACGGAATCTAAAACAAAAATCCAGAAAATCACATTGTATGATTTTTAAGTAATTAATTTGCATTTTATTGCATGACATAAGTATTTGATCACCTACCAACCAGTAAGAATTCCAGCTCTCACAGACCTGTTAGTTTTTCTTTAAGAAGCCCTCCTGTTCTCCACTCATTACCTGTTAACTGCACCTGTTTGAACTCGTTACCTGAATAAAAGACACCTGTCCACACACTCAAACAGACTCCAACCTGTGGCCAAGACCAGAGAGCTGTGTAAGGACATCAGGGATAAAATTGTAGACCTGCACAAGGCTGGGATGGGCTACAGGATAATAGGCAAGCAGCTTGGTGAGAAGGCAACAACTGTTGGCGCAATTATTAGAAAATGGAAGAAGTTCAAGATGACGGTCAATCACCCTCGGTCTGGGGCTCCATGCAAGATCTCACCTCGTGGGGCATCAATGATCATGAGGAAGGTGCGGGATCAGCCCAGAACTACACGGCAGGACCTGGTCAATGACCTGAAGAGAGCTGGGACCACAGTCTCAAAGAAAACCACTAGTAACACACTACGCCGTCATGGATTAAAATCCTGCAGCGCACGCAAGGTCCCCCTGCTCAAGCCAACGCATGTCCAGGCCCGTCTGAAGTTTGCCAATGACCATCTGGATGATCCAGAGGAGGAATGGGAGAAGGTCATGTGGTCTGATGAGACAAAAATAGAGATTTTGGTCTAAACTCCACTCGCCGTGTTTGGAGGAAGAAGAAGGATGAGTACAACCCCAAGAACACCATCCCAACCGTGAAGCATGGAGGTGGAAACATCATTCTTTGGGGATGCTTTTCTGCAAAGGGGACAGGACGACTGCACCGTATTGAGGGGAGGATGGATGGGGCCATGTATCGCGAGATCTTGGCCAACAACCGCCTTCCCTCAGTAAGAGCATTGAAGATGGGTCGTGGCTGGATCTTCCAGCATGACAACGACCCGAAACACACAGCCAGGGCAACTAAGGAGTGGCTCCGTAAGAAGCATCTCAAGGTCCTGGAGTGGCCTAGCCAGTCTCCAGACCTGAACCCAATAGAAAATATTTGGAGGGAGCTGAAAGTCCGTATTGCCCAGCGACAGCCCCGAAACCTGAAGGATCTGGAGAAGGTCTGTATGGAGGAGTGGGCCAAAATCCCTGCTGCAGTGTGTGCAAACCTGGTCAAGACCTACAGGAAACGTATGATCTCTGTAATTGCAAACAAAGGTTTCTGTACCAAATATTAAGTTCTGCTTTTCTGATGTATCAAATACTTATGTCATGCAATAAAATGCAAATTAATTAAAAATCATTCAATGTGATTTTCTGGATTTTTGTTTTAGATTCCGTCTCTCACAGTTGAAGTGTACCTATGATAAACCTGCAAAATCGGCAGTGTATCAAATACTTGTTCTCCCCACTGTATGTCGGCTCAATCGCTTGCTACAGATTGAGTAGAGCCCTTATTGTGCTTTGTCAGCTTATAGCCCCATTTATACATGGTTCTAACATGCATTCTGTGTCCTGATCGGATTGTGCACACCTTTTTTTTTTTAAACCAGTGTAGACGATTAAAAGGAAGGGCATGGGCAAGATTAGAACCTGTGACCTTCTGGTCCCTATCCCAGTGACTAGTCCACTGCAGCAGCATGAGGGAGCGTACCACACTTGTTTCCCACATTTATAAAGCTGTTCAGTCATTTAGAACGTCAAATGAGAAATATGATTGGTTAAGGTTGGAAAACAAGACTCATTGGGATTCGAACTGGCGACCTTGTCGCAATCCGCATTTAATGCCCTCCATCCACCTCAATGGGTTTTCTACATTAGTGACTCCTCGACAGACCTTTTAATGATCACGTGGCAATACCGCCACAGTGAATTAACAATCGCTTTTTGTCCATCATTGCATATATTTACTCTTGACTTGATAACATCCTGAGTAAGATGCATAGGCTATATCAACAAAATCTAATAATTTTTAAACATATGTTCCAGAAGGAAGTTAATTTAGAGTTAGCTACCCCAAAAAACGTCTGCGTATTCCAAACAGACCAATTAAAAAATAAGATATTACATACAGGCACATAGTGCTTTTACTTTTGGGGCATCAAAATAGCTTATAATAAAATATGCTAAATATATTTCACAGAATGCTAAGCCTTAGACAATAATTACATAGCATTCTACAGCTGGACTGGGAAGTGCAGATTTTGCTCTAGTATTGTGGAATAAGGAGAGTGCTTTACCACAACCTAACATGGAAGCTAATACACGGTTTGTGCATCACATTCACTAGATATTAGTAAATCTTTGTTTTAATTGTGGAATTAAATCATCTAGTGCCAAAAACAAGAGTACCGCTGGTAAACATGAACACAAGGAGATAAAATCAGAATGTAACACGTTTTAAAAACCACATTGTATAAATAAGACCTTTCTTGCATGCACAGTTACATTAATTTGGATAACATCCAATAGCTGCAGACACTTACTTGATGACCCAACTGCAGTTGAGTGTGCCAAATGCAAATATCAAGATGTTCATAATTATGAACAATCATTGAATAATTTAAGCATTTCCCTCCTTGTGCAGTAAGTCACAACAACAGCATTACTAAATCATTATAAAAAAGAAAAAAGGATTGTCATTTCATTTCCAGATCAATCTGGTCTGAAACGGATACAATCTGCGTCTCTCAAAACCAGTTCTCATTGCTGTGTGTATCCTAATTTATACTATACCTCAGAACTGGGGCACCAGGGGCTGAAACTAGCAGACAGCAGGCAAGGAGTACCAGTGACCTCCACCCGCTACAACATAGTGCAGTAAACAAACCTAAACTGATAATGGATCATTGTTCGATTCAAACAGAGAAAGGGAATGGGGTTGCAGTGACCCATGTAAGCGCAAGAGGCCAATCCACTGAGACGGAGAGAGGATTAGGGGCCAGCGCTGTGTGAGAGTACTTCCTGGATGTGGGGAGGGGGGGGCTAGTGTTCAGAGGTGTAGCTGAGGGACCCTCGCCGTGCCAGACTCTGGGTGCTGGAGCTCAGGGTTCGGTTCTCTGTCAGGCTGCTGGGGTTCTGGAAGAACATACAAAACACTTGACTAGTCTGACTATGTGTATAACAATGACATATACATTCATTTTGATGACACACAGCCAGAGAAATGCCTTAGGATACGAAGCACATAAAATGAAAGGTGATGAATAAACACTAACAATCATATTGTACAGAAAAGGCCAGAAACTGCTGCTCACCCTTGCCGCTTCTTGCCGCTCCCTCGCACCCACGTTCAGCACATTCAGAGAATTAGCCCTTTTCATCCTGAGGGAGAACAAGAGAGAGAGTGAGAGTAACAAATTGGGCACCATTTTGAGAGGTAACACATGCAGAATGAGGACTTGGTCTTTACCCAGGAGTCGGAGGGGTGGTATCTTGAGTTCCGACTCCTTTCAGCTTCCTGACCAGCTTCTCGCTGCTCCTGCGTATCGACTCGCGGAGCTTGGTGAACGAGCCGCTGCGCTTCAGACTGCCCAGCCCATCCTGCATGGAGCCCTCCTCTTCTGTGTGGGTCCAGATGTCCCGCACCTCACCTGAGACACCAACATTAGAGGATACACATCAGTGGCATCATCCAGTACGATTAGCTGTTTACAGTACATCTGAGATACATTTTTTATTCCAATATATACACCCTTTTAGGATAAAAATGCTATTGAACCTAGAGAGCAGGTTTCAAAGATCATATTATGGGTTTGCTCTCACCATCCACAGATCCAAAGTCTTTTTCATGGGCCCGGGTCAGGATCTCTTTATACAGAGCCTCAGCTTGTCTGTACTTCCCTTGTTTCAGGTAACATGAAGCCTGTAGCCAGAAACACAGCAATACTAGAGTCACAAATAGCGCTATCACACCTCAGATAGATAGACACACACATGCAGCTTGGGTCAATGTCCCCCACTTCTACCCAATCATAGCATATTATACACACACATAATATGGTATCATCTAGCCCAGTGACCATGCCAACCAGGTCCACTCCCCCTTTATACCCCTCCCTCCATTCTCCCTCTCCTATTCTCCATCCCTCACCAGGTTATTCTTGGTCTTGGCCACGTTGGCGTCGTCGGGGCCCAGCCTGCTCTGGTAGATGTGCAGGGCACGCTCGTAGTACTGCTCCACTTCTTGGTACTTTCCCTGGTTCTGACACAGCAGCGCCAGGTTGTTCAGCTGCTTTGCCACGTCAGGGTGGTCCGTGCCTAACACCTGCCCACAACAACAAGAGGGGTGGGGGGTGGGGGGGGGGGGGGGGGGGGGGTGAATGGAGATGAACAGACAGGTTTGGGTAATAAGCAGTGTTAGGGGTAGCGCATTACAAACTAACGCGTTACAGTAATTCAATTACTTTATGCGGTAACGAGTAATATAAAAGAGTTACTGTTCCAATTTAAATTTTAATGGGTTGTTACTTGTGTTATCATTCATTTCCTATTACAGTTACTGATCCAAATAAGTATTTGTGATGGCTCAAAATATTAAAAAATATCCACCACCCCAGATTGTTTGTCTGACGTCCTCTCACCAAGTTCCTGTTTACGCTCGCACACACTACTACTAACTGCTTTAGTGAGGGAGATGGCAGAACCGTCTAAAACATCGAGTTTCTCAGCACGGAAGTACTCCCATTTCTTTGATTTGGTAGGACAAAATTACAAGAATATTACAGTAAAATGTCAACTGTGCCCAGGCGAGAAACACCTCTCCACTGCTAGAAACACGACATTGTTTACATTGAGTGAGGACGCGCAACGTAATATAACGAGTAGTGTAACAAATTACTTTTCCCAGGGAGAAATAAGGAACTATTTATTGTTGAAAGAAGTAACGAGTAATAGGTAATATAACTTTTTGCTTGCATGAATGAGAAATGATAATACAATATAGTACTGTAGCAGTGCTGTACTACAGAATGCTTTCAGAGTTGCCATTAGCCCATCAGAGGGCAGGGTTTCTAGTCACAGTGCTGCTAGGTTCATTACCTTCTCTCTGATCTCCAGGGCTCTCTTACACAGTGGCTCAGCCTCCTTGTACTTCCCTCTCTTTCCATACAGTACAGCAAGGTTGTTGAGTGTGGCTGCCACCTATAAGCAAATACAGTACTGTTAATTAAATACAGTGATGCAGTAGTAAAAACAATAGGTGGGAAAACTTTGATCGCCGGTCGTGGTGAAAAAAGAAACGCTCCCTATACTTCCAATCGTTCTTCCGCAAAAGGTGGGTAAACTGTTGGGCAAAAAACTTGTACCCTACACTACACCACTGGTTACATACTGTAGCTGATTTTCCACTGTGCTAGGGAAAACCATTAGCTATGCATGGTTTAGACTTCTTGTTTTGTCCATTTTGGTGACCCTTGAACTTCACTATAGACTATAGAGGAACATACCGCAGGGTGATCTATGCCCAGGGTCTTCTCCCGAATGGCCAATGCGTCATTCAGGAGGTTAGCCGCCTCTTTGTACTTGTTCTGGTCTCTGCAGAGAAGAGCGAAACAGCCTTTAGCATACGGCTAACATAACTAGCCACACTATGGAAATCCCCCACAGTAAGACCTAGCATGGAAGCTATGCTAGGCTAACGTGGCTCCACTCACCTGTAGACCAGGGCCAGTATGTTGAGCATGGTGGCCACGTCAGGGTGGCTGTGGCCCGAGGACTTCTCCAGGTCCTCCAAGGCCTGTTTACAGAGGGGCACGGCTACCTCATAGCGGCCCTGGGAGGCGTACTGGATCACCAGGTTGTGGAGGGTCCTCAGGCGGGCCGGGATCTCATAGCCTCCCTGCTGGGCCGCTGCCACCGCACTACTACCATGGGGCTGAGATACTGGGGGACAGGAGGACACAAGAGGGGGTAGAGAGAGTCATTCATACACACACACACACAAACATGAACATAAACATACATAGACACATACTCACTCACAAATATATTGTACATAGACATACTCCAAAAAAGATATTGTACATAAACACACAAACACACAGCGAGTGACGGACTTTACAACACAGAGAGTCACATCGAGACACCGACACACATACATGCATAGCTCGTCTGCACAGCAGATAGCCAGACAAGAATATCCGGCTCATTTGACGAGTGCACGTACTCTGTGACTGTTCCTCCTCGTCCGTGGGAAAAAGGTCATCTAGGGATTCCTTGGTGGAGCCTGTTTCTTTGTCATCCTGTTGACATAGAAAACATAACTAGATTGATGGTACAGAGCTGAGGGGAGTGCCTATTTGAACTATACAGAGAAACACATAGCAACCTGTTCTGGTAAGCCACCAACAGCTTAGCTTTAGTAATAACATAAAAGCTGTGGCAAACACATGCACCATGTACTGGGTCATATTCATTAGGGTACACCATAGCGAAACATTTTGCATTGGAAAGCGAATATGAGCAGTTTTGGTAGTTCCTCACTGTATCAGTCTGTTTTTTTCCCCGTTTGGTGCCTAATGAATACGACCCTGGTTGTGGTGGTCTGTGACATACCGGTGGGGGCTCCTCCTGGTCGTACTTGCGGATGCTGCTCATGAACTGCAGGTGTCTGTTCTGCTCCTCCAGGGTGACCACCTCCTGCTCCCTGTCCTGCAGCCTCTGCTGGGCCCTGGCCAGCTCGTCCCTCAGCCACTGGTTTTCTTGGCACAGCCTCCGTACCTGGGTCCGCAGCTTCTGCTTCTCCGCCTCCAGGGAGCCCAGGTGGGCCGACAGAGCCATCATCACCTGGGGAGGAGGAGGGAGAGGGAAAGAAAGAGAGAGAGAGGAGAGAGAGAGTGAAAGAGGAAGAGAGTGAAGTAGGTGTGTATATAAACATGTACAGATCCAATACAGTCAAAATACAACTTCACCCATTCTGCGGTCTTCATGCATTCTGCTATCTCCAGTATGACCCCACCTGTGCCTCTCCCAGGCCCAGCTCTATCCTCTCCAGAGACTGGCGGATGATGCCACTCTTCTCCTGCTCCACACTGCCACTCTCGGCCACCGGCCGGCCCTCCAGCACCTCCTGCAGGTTGTCCAGGAGGGTGTGGTTCTCGCCGCGCAGCGCCTCCAGGCCCGCTATCACTTGCCGCGTGCTGCACAGAATCTCCTCCCCCGACAGCATGGTGCCTCTCTCAGCTCAACCCTGTATGGAGGAGGAGGAAGAAGGGGAGGGTTCACAATTTTAAAATACTTGTAACTTGTCATATGGACTGTACAAGGTGTCGAAAGCGTTCCACAGGGATGCTGCTTCCCACAGTATTGTCAAGTTGTCTGGATGTCCTTTGGTTAGTGGACCATTCTTGATACACACAGGAAACTGTTGAGTGTGAAAAACCCAGCAGCGTTCCAGTTCTTGACACAAACAGTTGCGCCTGGCACCTACTACTTCACCCTCTAAATGGCACACATACACAATCCTGCCTGGTTATATCCTGCCTGGTTGGCCCTGTCCGGGGGTATCGTCGGACGGGGCCACAGTGTCCCCCGACCCACCGTCTCCAATATCTAAGCTGCAATAGTCTATGTGCCGGGGGGCTAGGGTCAGTCTGTTATATCTGGTGTAATTCTCCTGTCTTATCTGGTGTCCTGTGTGAATTTAAGTATGCTCCCTCTAATTCTCTCTCTCTCTCTCTCTCTCTCTCTATCCATCCCCTCCCGGAGGACCTGAGCCCTAGGACCATGCCTCAGGACTACCTGCCCTGATGACCCCTGGCTGTCCCAAGTCCAACTGGTCGTGCTGCTGCTCCAGTTTCAACTGTTCTGCCTGCGGCTATGGAACCCTGACCTGTTCACCGGACGTGCTACCTTGTCCCGGACCTGCTGTTTTCGACTCTCTCTCTCTACCGCACCTGCTGTCTCGACCTCTGAATGCTCGGCTATGAAAAGCCAACTGACATTTACTCCTGAGGTGCTGACCTGTTGCACCCTGTATAACCACTGTGATTATTATTTGACCCTGCTTCATCTATGAACATTTGAACACCTTGAAGAACAATCTGGCCTTAATGGCCATGTACTCTTATAATCTCCACCCGGCACAGCCTGAAGTGGACTGGCCACCCCTCAGAGCCTGGTTCCTCTCTAGGTTTCTTTCTAGGTTCCTGCCTTTCTAGGGAGTTTTTCCTAGCCACCGTGCTTCTACATCTGCATTGCTTGCTGTTTGGGGTTTTAGGCTGGGTTTCTGTATATCACTTCTGTTGATGTAAAAAGGGCTTTACAAAATACATTTGATTTGACGTCTCAATTGTCTCAAGGCTGAAAGATCCTTCTTTAACCTTTCTCCACCACTTCATCTACACTGATTGAAGTGGATTTAACAAGTGACATCAATAAGGGATCATAGCTTTCACCTGGTCAGTCTATGTCATGGAAAGAGCAGGTGTTCTTAATGTTTTGTACACTCAGTGTATATGCATGTATGGGACACACAAAGTGAATAAAGGTCCAAAAGGGGTGTGCAATGGCAGCATGTAATTATGCACTGGTGGTAATATGGCTATTGGCAACACTCCATAGTAAACAGTGTTGTGTTGAACTAAAGCAGTACGACAATGTGTAGGCTAACCAACTAGCTTCAGATATACAACTATAACTTGACCACTGCCAGTATGCTAAAGAGACTTGTGACTAGTAAGTTACAGTAAAATACAGCTGGTACTGAACTGAGATGTCTCACAAACAGCAGCCCCTAGACACACAAAGACAAACACACAGAGGAGAAAGGAATAATAGCACACAAGCCTCCCATTATGACAACAATCCATTTGTATCTGTCCTATAGCTGTTTCACAAAACATCTTATCAGAACATAAAATGATGCTCCAAGTTCTGTGCAAAGTAAAAAACTACAAGTGTAGCCTATGTTTACCACCACGGGGGGGTGTCACCGACGACAACAGTATGCTGACCTGACAGCCTGCCACTCCATGACCAGCCTTTCATAACCATGACTATGCATTCTGGCAGCCAAAGAAAACATTGAATAGCCAATACAGAGACCAATGGGTCTGTATGTAAAACACATCCTGGGACAACGGTGTCATTTTGCTCCTGTGAGCATGAAGGCATAAAGCCTGGAGCCGACAGCCGCCCAGTTCAATGACTCAAGGCATAACACATGAAGTAGTCTACTTCCTGGTCAGTGGGGCATCATGCCACATTGAGGGGTTGTAGTGGGATGTGTAGTACAATGAGAACAGGTCCAGAGAGAGGTCTCTTCATATGGTTGGAGTGCAGTTCTGACATTAAATCTAAACCCAAAACAATATCAACCCTGACCTGTTTCAGTTACAAATACAAAATTGTAGTGGGTGTTATATTTCTGGTTGGTGTTCTATTTCACGGTACCTGCTCTCTGTGGCAATAACATGTTGATGCATCTTGTAGCAGGGCTACAGAGGATTGCCTCAACAAAAAAAGTTGGCTTCTTAAAGACCAGATGGGTAGCCTGAACTCAAATAATGAGCATAAAAGGCCTCTGATCACCCTTACACCATATCAATACTAATGGGAGAACAGGAGAGGAGGGCTGCACTGTGAAGCCAAGCGCCTAAGAGGAGAAACAGGTGTCTATGGGGAACAAGAGAGGGAGCTGTGCTGGGCCTGAGCAGGAGACTGCATCAGCATAACACCAAAAGGCAGGCCAGCTGCAGCAGACCATACATTAACACAAGGATATCTTACTAGTGGCTCCTGGGAGGAGGGCAGCGTATGGCAGTTGTAATGGTAAACAACAGTGGTCATTGCAATTGATCGGGACCTATAATGGATCTAAAGTTGAAAAGAGTGATGCTCTTATTTAATATTTGGGTAAATCCATTTGAATTCAATCACTTTTGACATCATCCCTTTTGATGTAAACATACAGTAACTTTCCATACATGTTTGCCCATGGTAGAAGTGGTCAGAAAAGGACTTTTTGGACATGAATGCAAAAACATTCAGGAGATAAAAGTACTCAAATTTGACACATTTTGCATACCCCACCATACCATGAGACATTGTCTTCATCACTGGAAAAGATAAACGGTTGAGTTTGATATCATTTAAAAGATTACAAATAGTGTTGTCAAACTATTGGATTACTTAGTAAAACATTGTATTTTTTATTTAAAATTGTCATTTTAAACCTTTAACGTAAATGATCTAAAAACGCATAAACTCCTATTTTTTTCATTTTCGCATATGTTGAAATTTAGACCCTACTTTACATAATCTGAGGTTGTTGTGTTGTGCCTGCCATCGGTTGAGAAACAACATGCTGTTGAATACAGGGTGGGTGTCATTTCAACCATAGAAAGATTATTCAGAGAATGGACCTATCCCTTCAGACCCCTGCAATTTAGCTGGTACACCATTGGAATTTAAATTAAATTGAAATGTTTAATTCTAATTACTATAATTCAAAATTCAAAAGGCACTCGCACATCTGAGCTATCTTTTTTGCAGGTGCATGGTAATAGTTAAATAAGATGAGAAAAAATAAGAAACCTGCACACTGCTCTTGCTAGTATCACTGCTCTTTAATAAGCTTTACATATCGACCTCAAGGCCTTCGTCAGAGCTGTTGTGAGTTTTTTTTTTTTTAAATGATCACCCTTATGTAGAATGGGGTTGGAGTCGAGGGAAAATAAGTAAGTGTTACCAAATATCATAAATAAAACGTATTAAACACGTCTGTAAAACCACAATGCGGACATCGACCACCAAGCAATGTTTCATAAATCATTGGGTACAGTGCAAGAAAAACGTCAGAGTAATCTGAAATGCAGGCATTAATTCATGTTCACATTTACAACACATAACATACATAGGCATTTCATCACTAAGACCTTTAGGAAATAATGTCTGGAGGGTGAAAATCTCAGAGTATTATTTATATCACCTCCCCTGTCTGATATCTTAACTTTCTCTCGAGTCCAACCGCATTTGACGTATGGAACGGATGTGGGTGGAGTTATGTCTACATAAGGGTGCTAATTAAAAATCGACAAATCAAGCTTACTTGACATACTTGTGTGCAAAACAAATTAGTTAATTTAATGTTTTATGGATGAATAGGCCTACAGTTCTATATTCACATAATTAAGAAAATTGGAATATATCATTTTTATAATGAATTATTTTGGCCTTTTTATGTACTCACTAGGACACTTTGGCAGGTCAGTAGACCTAAATGAGAAATTGTGAAGCAATTACCATAGGCCTATATTAAATTGGATGATGGCCTACAGAGGAGCATCCTCTATGGGAGAAAAGCAACACCTGTCAGAGACAGATAAACAACATGTGCGCTTGTACAGGAGGACTTGTGCCATAGGCTATTGTATTTGGATGTTTTCCAACATTAGACCTTTGTCTGCCTTCACAGTGTACACGGTTTTATATGGATTACGAATTTGCATTTGTATAACATTAGGCAATAACAACAGATGGTTAGGCCTGTGTGTGCATTGTTGTGGCTTTGTCAACCCGTTTAAAATGGTATTGGAATACTTATACTGCGTAGGCTACAGACACATAAAGACAAACATTTATTCATCAAAATAAATACATTTAGTCAAATAAATGTATTGATGACATACTATATGCATACAGTGACAATTCGGCACTAGGGCGGCTGTAGCAGAAGAAAATAAAGACCATTGGGATATAATGCAGCCATTGAAACTACAAAATTATGATCCACACGTCAAAGAACAAATTGATGTGAACACATTAACAAGAGCACTATCAACAAAAGTTATTTTTAACCTACCTGCTGCTAATTCCAGGCTTTTGGCGAGTTGTCGACCTCTTGTTGTCGCGTATCTCCGATTTTCAATCGGGCTCCCATTAAAGTTAATTGGACTGCTCGCGTCAAAACATTCACTATTTCTTCATTATGGGACCAAGATAAATGATATCTTTGGACGACGTCCTTAACAGCAGGCCTACAGTAATTCAGTAATCATTCACCTGTTCTTGCGGCTCAGACGGTCTCATTTCAGCTTACCTGATCTGATCATTCCCACCATGCACCGCGGTAGATTGACGCCATCTCCCTCTGAGGACAAGGCCATCTATCTGTGGGTGATCTGAACTGCGAGTGACATGGGACAGACCAGCACAGACAGGACTGCA